GGGGGGCTTCTTTTTTTTTGTTTTTGTTTTTCATTTTGTGGCCGGGCCACGGCCGAGATGTCCAGGCCACGCCCATGGCCGGGCCGCGGCCGAGATGTCTAGGCCACACCCGTGGCTGGGCCACAACCGAGATGTCTAGGCCACGCCTGCGGCCGTGCCGCAGCCGAGATGTCTAGGCCACGGCTGTGGCTGGGCCATGGTCAACATGTCTAGGCCATGCCTGTGGCTGGGCCACAGCCAAGATGTCTAGGCCACGCCCCAGGTGTATAGGCCACACCTCAGGTGTATAGGCCACGCCTGTGGCTGGGCCACGACCGAAGATGTTTAAAGGCCACGCCTGTGGCTGGGTCACGACCGAAGATGTCTAGGCCACGCCTGTGGCTGGGCCAGGGTTAAGATGTTCAGGCCACAGCCGAGATGTCTAGGCCTCACATGGAAAAAAAAAAAAAAAAACGACGAGCTATGGTCGTGAAAGCAGGTGGACACAGAATCTGGAGAAGGTGTGAGAGGTCACCATCCTTGAGGGCATTATTGCCCCATGGTCGTCACGGCAGTGGAAAAAAAAAGCAAAGACGAAACAAAGAAAAGCAAGAGCAACAATGCTATGGTTGTGAAAGCAGCTGGATACAGAAGAACAGAATGTGGAGAACGTGTGAGACTGCGCCGTCTGGGAGGGCATTATGGCCTCGTGCTGTGTGCCCGAAAATCGATTCAACGTGGGTTCCGCGTTGAAAGATTCAACGTGGTTTCCGCGTTGAAAGATTCAACGCGCGTTGAATCCGTGTTGAATATGTGAAGCCCGTTAGATGGGTTACAACGGGGTCCGCATTTATTTTTTTATGGGCTAAAAATAATCAAAACAAAATTTAGAAAATATGGGGTTGTAGAAATTTTTAAGGTCTACAACGCCATATTTTTTATTTGATTTTTTTAGCTTTGACTATATTTAAAAAAAATGAAAAACATAAACACTGAAAAAAAAACAACAAAGAATGAAATGAGTGTTTTTTTTGGGGGGGAGTTTCATAAATATTTTTTTAGGGCAAAACAAAAAACAGAAAAAACAAATAAAAAATATAGAGTTGTGGATCTTTCAAAGATGTACAACAAAAACATAAAAACAATTCAAAAAAAAGGAAAAAAAGACGCACACATACACACAGACACACAACACATAAACATACATAAACACACACACATGCACACACAAACACACACACCAACAATCATGCGCGCACACACACATAGGGCCTCGTTAGACACTCCTTGTAGACCCGAAATCCACAAGGAACTGCTCGTTCCACCTGTCCTCGGGGACGATTCTCGAAAAAAATGTGAAAACAGCACAAGGAAATTTCCTTGTGGCGTCCTTGTGGCTACAGCCAAATTTTTCCTAACCCCCAAGGGACCTCCCGAGGTCCCGCGGAGCACAAGGGAGCGCGAAATTTGGAGCGGCGAAGGCATGCGTCGACGGACAGTTTCGGTTTGAGGGTGGTCCAGACGTGGTCCACCGAACGGGAGCACGGACATCCCTGCCCTCCACCATCTGCGCGGCACCCCAACGGCTCCAAACGGTCACCGTCCGCGTGAGGCCTCCGTCCGTTGAATCAAGCGTCGCTGGCCTGTGTCATGCGGTCTGCTGCGCCGGGCGATCGTCGACAACGGTCGGAAATTCGAATGCTTTTCCGCGCCGGCGCCGCTTTCAACGACGACAGTTTCACCTCGGAAGATCATCGTTTTCGTCGTTTGTCGTCACGCCTTGCACGTCGGAGCACAGATCTTCCCTCGATCTTTCTTCTGACGACGGAGTTCTTCTCTTCGGGCTGATCTAAGGCAGAGCACTCTCTCCTTGTCTCCGCGGATCCGTCTCGGCCCTTGGGAGGTTCAGCGCCGTCTCTCTTGTCTTCTTCTCGCCGCGGAGCAGTCTCGCCGGGGTTGTTCTCCTCCTCTCGTAGACGTGGACGTTGAGCTCCTATGTGTGGCGAGGGCGCTTCTTCATCGTCGTTGCAAACGCGGCCGTCGCCACGCGCGATCCATTCGTGAGTCGCTGTTCTCGCCCCATCAGCGGAACTCCCATCGGCGGGGCACTCTCTCCTTGTCGCCGCGGATCTGTCTCGCCACGTGGAGGTTCGGCGCCGTCTCTCTTGTGTTCTTCTCGCCGCGGAGCAGTCCCACCGGGGTCGTTCTTCTCCTCTCGTACACGTGGACGTCGTGCTCCTCTGTGCGGCGAGGGCGCACACGCCTCCGCGATTTCCTGGAACACTCGTGGTGACATGCGTAGCTTCTCCCGGAAGTAGTCGTTTGTCACGTCGTCGCATTGCCTGAGGTCTTCCCACATGCCTCCTGTCCTGCGCTTCATCCACCACCTCGGCGTCGCTCGAGGAATTACTCCGCAACCCAATGTGTAGCACAGCTCAACAACAGCCTCCGACGTTGCCACGTAGTCCGGCCCATCGTCCGGAGCTTGCGTCAATGTCCTCCGTCTAAGCGCACACAACTGCTCGTTCAGTCGTCCTAGCGCCCTCTCCTCTCGAAGAACGATAGTGGACACGGCCGCCGCCACGGCCTGCAGCTCAAGAGCCGTCAACCTCACGTCTACCCTCTCCGCCGCCCTCCATAGCCGCGACCTGGACACGGACCCGTCGCTCCGCTGCCGTGTGTGTCGTCCTTCCACACCCGACGAAGAAGCCGAAGATGTCTGTCGAAAGCTGGCCCCTTTTCTCTGAATGCAGTCCCTCACACGGAAACATGTTGCAAGGCGCAGTCGACGTGTGCGAAGGTCCACGGCGATGGACGCACCCGACGCTGCCCGTGCACTCGCAACGGCCGGGGGACGGAAGTGACCCCGCCGCTGAGCCCGTTTCAGCAATACGCCGTCTTCGCGCCGCCAGCCACACGTCGTCGTCGTCGTCGCAGCCGTCATTTGAAATTCGAATTTCAAACGTCGACGCCCTTCAGGTTAATTTTTTTTCCCGTCGCCCGCCGTATGCCGTTTCCCGCCACACGTCGTTGGACCACGCCGCCTCCACACGGACAAAAGACGCTGGACCAAGGACGACCGACCCCACGGCCGCTAATTTCCGTATGAAAACGGTCGTGGGCAAGCCACAAGGAAACATCCTCGGGGGAGGTCCCCAAGGATGAGTGGAACAACGCCGCAAATTTCCCTTAAGAGCCACAAGGAAATTTCCTTGTGGCTCAAGGAACTCATGAGGAGTGTCTAACGAGGCCCATACTTACAAACACACATACTTCCGGGTAGGTTTGGGAAAGGCAGGATGAGGTGGGCGGCAGGATGGGGCGGGCGGCAGGATGGGGCGGGGGGGGGAAGGGGGGTTGGGGCTCGTAGTGGTTTAGAGGGCTTCCGGGTAGGTTTGGGGACTCGTAGGGGGGTGTCAAATTTTATGTTTTTTTTTCTGGTTTTAGTGTTTGGGCACGCAGGGCCACGTGTCCGAGGCCCAACGCGCCCAATTCGTTTTTCAGGATTCAACGGGAGACCCCCGTTTCCCCGTTAAACGAGATTCAACGGGAGCTTTGGGGGCTATTCAATGGGTACAACGACGTTTAATTCCGTCCGTGGCCCGATGTTAGGACACACAGGCACTGTGTTTTTTTTGCCTGTTCAAACTCAGCCGCGACATCGTGATGTTCTTGCTCATTCCGAACAGCACCTGTGCCTTCAACGTACTTGCCCCAAAGTAAAAACAAATTCACAACGAAATTTAAATTCGTTTTGGACTCTTGGAGTGATAACGTCTTGTTTTGTAAGGCTTTACAGTTTGCAATCTGAGCTTTTCTGGCCTTGGCTCCGACCCCGCACTTGCCCCCCTCTTCCACCGCTCCGCCCCTACTCCCCCTTCCCCCGCCGGCAGTTCCAGTCCCCTTTCTCTACCCCTCCCCCTTCCCCTCTCTCACATGCTTGCGCAACCCTGCAAGATTTCCCTTTGTCCCTTGGTGGAAAGTTGTAGGCTGTTTTTTCTTTTTTTTCTTTTTTTTAATTGAACTCCTTTTAATTTATATATGTCATCCTTGCTCAGGATCCATGCTAATCTTTTCTGTATTTTTCCAATTTTAACGGATGTGTCGAAAGATAGAAGGCTGTAGATTTTCATCTGCCCAATCTCTGGAATGGAACGTTGGACTCCTTCGAGAGTCGAATTTGAGGATTTTCATTTTGATTTTGATTTTCATTTTTGTTTTTTTTTTCCTGTATCACAGTATGGACGAGTGACGAGCGCGGGTAATGAACCCGCGATGATGTATTCATTTATTCGTTGACGTCGGCCTTTTGTATCTATGTTAAGTGTTCATCTCACGACCGGAGCTAGGACTCGGATGCTCTTCAACTACAATAATTTCTCGCCACACAGTTACAGAGAAGTTATGGTTTTGCGAGTCATGTGGCCTTTGTACTGCGATATACTTCGCTCTTTAGATCGTGTGTGTCACATCTTCTGTTGTAGGTCTCTGAAGCATTAATGGTGATGTAGTGGTGGACTAGGTAGGGGGATTTTTAGAGGATATTGCGCACTCTAAGGTGAGGAATGCTGTTGTAGATCGGTGTTTTTCCCTTCTTCTTTTTTCTTTTTCAATCAATCAGCTTTGGCATTATTTTTCAATCAATCAACTTTGGCATTTCTTCCAATCAATTAATGTTTGACATTTTTTCCAATCAATCAATGTTTGGCATTTTTTCCAATCGATCAATGTAATTTGGCCGATTGATCCCAGTAGTTAGTGTACTCCTACGTGGCTAATTAATAACATACTGGCGTAAGATTTGACATTAGTTACAGACACACATACACACACAAAGAGAGAGAGATTTGACATTCGTTACAGACACACATACACACAAAGAGAGAGAGATTTGACATTAGTTACAGACACACATACACACACAAAGAGAGAGAGAGAGAGNATACACACACAAAGAGAGAGAGAGAGAGAGAGAGGGAGGGAGGGAGGGAGAGAGAGAGAGAGAGAGAGAGAGAGAGAGAGAGAGAGAGAGAGAGAGAGAGATTTGCTCCGGATGTTGATTCCTTTGTGTTGGCCGTAATGAGGTACTCATCGGACTGAAGTTCTAAAACATGAGGTTGCTTTCGGATTTTTGCAGTGTTTGATTTCTATTTCACTTGTTCTACAACTCCCTTGTTTTTCGAATTGCCATTGAGCTTCATATTTCAAGCTCTCTGACGAATAAATTCTTGAATCATCATGTTTGCTCTCCCTAGAATGCGTAGGTGCATAATTCATAGTTCAGACTAGTTAAGATGTAACATGTTGTTTGCGGCGTTCTTGGTGCTGATGTAATGATATATTTCGATCGCTGAACGACCCATACAATTCCTTTCGGACGATTTGAATAGGAAGTTTCGCACATCGTGTGAGGGATGATAATGGCCCGCCTTCCGAACAATTTGAATGCGAAGTGTCCCGCATCGTGCGAGGGATGATAATTCTTTTTCCGTGTCCTTATCCAACGTGGATGCCACCCCTTAAAGGATTATCGGTCTCCAGGGGCAGGAAATGTCTAGCTCATGATGCGGATGAGCATGACCGTGACCCCTGAAGAAGCATGTGTAAACAATTTTGTTGTGAAGCTAAAACTATTCCATTGGTTTGTGAATTTACAGGAATAATCTTTTTGGATTTCGTTTGTCTACATGTGTGATCAGGGCATGCAATGATGAGGAGCTTTGAACGCTTGCCACATACGTGATACCATGTAGTGACCCTCTAAAGGAGGTTATCGTTTATCAGAACATTGTTGGGAAGCAAATTGATCGGACCTTCTTTTTCAACAAGGTAAAGCAGTTTCATTAGTCTCGATGTCAGATTCATTTTTTCGTCCAAGCATTAATAATGATTTCTTATCAAGTTGTGTTGGAGTATATATTTTATGATTATCTAAAGCTGAGAAATGTTCTACGGAGGCATGACTTACCCCCAGGCAGGACTGGGGGGGGTATCCTTTGACCGGATGGTCACACTATGACCCGCCCGATCGAACGCGGCCGGTCCTAATCTGACTGTGTCCCACCAATACTTTCTTAGGTCCCTAAAAATACATCAAAAAAATTATGGGCATGTTCCTTTTTTTTTGGCACTAAAATAAGATATTTTTTTTTTAGAGAACGGGTCACCTTCCTTTGCATCATCAGTCTTGCAAATCTACCCAGAGATAAAAGTCTGGGATGGACTTCAAGTGGAATCCATGTGCTATACAACAATCTTGCATGTGAACAACGGTAATATTTTTTTTACATATTAACAAATAACATGCAAGGAACATGAATGTGGACGAAACACAGAAATCCAAATTGCAAAATCACACTGAAGTCCAAGTAGTCAAAGCAAGAGCAGATAGCACAATGGAACCATGTAACCATCCATTTGAGAACGATACAGCAGAATCGTGAGTCAATGTCCAAGCCCAATCGGGCAACACCAACAGCATAACCCAATGTAGCTCTCTCTCTTGAATAGCGCCAGACGCCCTATCTACTCTACAGCCTAATACTACAACTATAGCATGGAAGCAACCAGACAACTTGATGACCAGCGAGTGATGACGTCAACACCAATGTCGACCTCCTCTCCACCAGGTACGTCTCTCTTCTTCACCCTCACTCTCCCTTGTTAACCCACACAGCGCCCTTCACCTACCCGAAGACCACCTTCGCCCTCACCTCCCTCTGGCGCGCACCTCGCAGCCCGGCTATGGCTGCCAGCGCCCTGCGCCCTCTGCCCTGGCTGCGCCCCTACCGCATAGCGCTGCCAGCAGCTTCCCAGCCTTAGCGCAGTGCAGCCCCTTGCAATGCAGCAGCATGCCGACATTGCCCGCAATGGCCAAGATCCCTACCCACTCGCCCTCCCTGCCTATATGCCAGTGTTGCGTGTGGGCGGCCTCCCTTAAAGCTGCGCCTGGGCCCCAGTACCTGTACCCAGGCCCAATGCGGTTGGTGCCCAGGAGATGCAGTTGCGCCTCCTTCATCAAAGCCTGCGGCCAGATTCAGATAGTGGACCGGTTTCCCATTGGCATTTTCGGCCTCTATATCCAGCATGCATTGTCGGCCTCACATTTATGTGCCCAGGGCCTAACCAATTCTGGGGCCCTGTGATATCTGCATTTGCAGAGATCCGATACTCGGTGCACTCCAACCAACTGGCGTGCGGCAACTGTATGGACCCTACTTCGTGAAATGTTTGAACAAAGAGCTCTCGCTGATTTGCTGGCCCGCCTTCACTTAGGGCGAGCATGAGGCTTGCTGGGGGCCTTAGCCCAGAACATGTACATCACGGTAAGGCCCCTTTGAGGACTCAATCCTCACATTCCATCCCCCTTAGCTTCGAAAGTCCGCTGAGATGCTTACTTCGCAGGTGCCTTCCCTTTTAACATCCTCTCATATTCTGCCACCACTTGAGGAGCTGTGTCAATCAGTTCCTCTCTGGTAAACCACCGATCTTCTTTCGGATCCGTATGATGCCTGAATCTGACGTGATACTCCCGCTTGGGTTTTGGAGGTCTTCCTCGACCCAATGGCTTTGGAACAGGCATGTCCTTGTTAACCCACAATATCGTCGATGTCCACTTGGCCATCCATGGTTGGGGGCAGCATCGATCTCCTGGAAGGGAATTGATCTGTCTCAGCGAAAGGTGCAAGCTTTAAGGCATGAAAGACAGGGTGAGTGCGCAGGTGATCAGGGATACGGATAACGTAGGACGAGTCATCCAAATCATTCCCCACTACATCCAAGACTTCCCGAGATGGACCAACTAACCTTTTTATTCCCTGCCTTATCCAGAAAGCATAATCCATCCATCAGGAAATGGTCTTTCCGGTAGGCTTCCACCACCAATTGAGTTAGCTCGTGAGATATGCCAAATTCGGAAACTAGTGTGACAGCGCATCAGCAAATTGTTATTCTCCCTCTTCAATTACTCTAGCTTAAAGTCATATTGTCTATGACCTTATTCTAGCGCTTGAGGGCACTGGAGAGAACAGGTTGAGTCCACTTTAGAATCTGATGATCTGTCCTCGAGTAGACGAATCTACCC